GCTCTATTGAACGAAGTAGGTTCTTGGTTCCCATATGGAGGTTCTGAACCACTATTGGAAGTTTGGCCCCATGCATCTCCTTTCTGGGCCACCGATTCAGTCTCATCCCTATATGAACCATCACCTGATGTATCCTTTAAATCTTGGCCAGATTGGCCTTGCCAAGTCATGTTTCTTCCCCTGCCATCCCTGGGAAAGGCACAGTTATCATCATCTGGAGGCAATCTTGTATCAGAATTCTGGTTAAACTTTGTTGTTCTTGCTACGGAAGATATGGCCTCCTCCCTACCATAATCAAATGGCCTGGTTTGGATCTCTATGACATCATAATTCTCATTTGAAATTCCATATTTTGATGAAGTTTTCAAAGCTTCTGTCCTATTTCCATCTTTTCTACCACCAGAACGAGGCCTTTCATTGTCAATCCAACCACGTCTGGGCATTTCCCACTCTCTGCCATGTTCATAAGGTGTATCATCTTCTTTTATTTCCTTGTCAACAAAGTTCCCTTGCCTTCTTTTCCACCCATCTTTGAAACCATCCCGAACTCTGTTTCTATCACTCCAGCCATCATCCCTTCCTTTTGATTTATCATCTCTTACACCATTTTTTTCCTGTTCTTTCCTTCTGAAAGTATCTCTTTTTTCATATTCCATCTCAACGCTTTCTGAGTCGTAATGACGCCTTCCACTCCTCTCAGGTGTCCTGGACCTATCGGAGTAGTCTATCTCTCTCCTATTTCTCTCTCTCACCCCTAAGCTGACATCATCACCTGCTACCACAGACCTTTCAAGGCTGTCAGCCACGTCGTGACTTGTGGCACTTTTTAGCTGTCTAAGCTCCTCAAATCTCTCCACACCCAATTTATCTTCCCGTATAGGAACATTTCCTCCATTGTCTTCCTCCGTAGCATACAATCTGCCTCTCTTGCTCCTATCGCAGTCAATCTTTCTCTCGTCACTGTCTGGGTATTTATCATTTTTGTCACCAATTGGATCTTTAAGGCTGTCCAACAGCACATGACCCTTTTCTCTGGCGCTTTCCTTTCTTTCCAAACGTCGAGAATCCCTTTCCAGCGCATTTTCAGAGTCCCCGCCATGTAGCTTTTCATTTTTACCTTTATTTCTTGTCTGGGAACCATCACCATCAGAAAACCTTGAAGTTGATTTCCTTCTGACACTCTCATTAGATAGGATTTCTCCTCTACCCCCTGTTTTGTCTCCATTTTCATACTTGCCCCCAAGTTCTCCATCCTGATACCAATTGCTCAACGTCTCCAATGTATTCTCCCCGTGCTTCTTCTTCATCAACTTAGAACGGGAGTCCTTTTCGGCCTCATAGTCATCCTCATCAACATCAGCTTTGCTTGATCCACCTGATCTTTTCCGACTCTCATTTCTGTCCACAGTACTTCTCCTTCTTCCATTACTATCTAAACCTTCAGCTTCTTCGTTGTTCCCAGACCTTGACTTACTTGACCTGTATTTTCTCTTATCATCCCCTTCCCAGTCGCCATCAAATTTTAAGTCTGGGTCGTCCTGTTTCAGATAACTCCTAAGTCGTTCAGGGGAAGTCATCAAGAGAGAAAAACCTCACTTGATTATTCTCAGCACTTCATTGAGTGAATGCAATATGAGACAGCATCCTGGGAGATGAAGAGAAACGAAGAAAATGATTAATGAGCTTACCTTTTAGTGAATCAAAATTCAAGAAAGGACTCATGATATAAGAGACAGAAAATATCCAGTAATCATAAGAGGAGGATAATAAGGTACCATGGGAGAGAGGAATATGGAGAATAAATATGCATAATAAAGAGGAGCCTCAATCCAATATTGACAACTTAATGATGCTGGTGATAGGAAATAGATGCAGAAGGAAGGAATGGCTTGAGGCGCGGTACGATCACTGTCTCAAAAGAGGGATTGTCTTTCTATGCGGTTAGCAGACAATGCTCCTTTGTGATACAAACAACAGCTAGTGACTATTTTCAACCTACCACAACCTTCCTCTGAGTGGAGCCGGCAATGTGTAGCTCACACATGTGAGTTCACAAACCATAAAATCCAAACATAATTAATGTTCAAAGTTCAAACACCATATTTCATAAATGAACAGAGCACAAAATAGATAGATAACAGCCATTTTATTTCATTTTGATCTTACAGATACTTTCAAAATGAACTCAAGCCAACAGAAAATTGTCATACTGGAAATAAATCACAATCTCGTGTGATATTACGCAGAAGAATTAGAAATCAATACCTAATCACAGTGAAATCAATCAGTTACAAAATCAGGCACCAGAAACTAAAAGTGCATATATTTCCGAAACTCATGTGCTCTTCGTATGAAGACTTAATGACTCAACAACAGAAAACATAAGCATAATATACAGAAATAAAATTCTCAGTGATTATTGAACAAAAGTTGAATGAGAGAAAAGCGTAAACTTACAAACTGGAAGCAAAATGAGCGTTCTAAACCGGAAGAAGTGGAGTACTCTTTTATACCGGCGGACTTGGCGGCGAGCGACGGCGGTGGCCTCCGGCGACCAATTCACGGCGTCGTGGTAGAAGCGTCGATAAGAAGAGGCAAAGGAAGAGAAAGAGGAAGCAAATCGGGTTAGAAGTGTTTGGATCCGAAGTTCCGAACCTAGGTTCGATGAAGAGTATAACTGGAATATTAGCAAATTTATAGGGGCAGTGATTCAACTCATAGAGCACGATGTGGTACGTTATGATGCTGCTATTTTAGTTTTTACTGGTCAAAATTAGTTTGATGAAAAATCTGAAAAAAGCATAAATTAATATTAGAGGAATTTTTTGAAATCACAATAGTTTAGTGGCTATTAACTTCATATAGCTACCATATACATATTTATTTTTTATAGCTAATATTTCATTGCTACCGCACTGTATTCGCGCTACTTTATTCATGAATACAGTCGCGTAATTCGCCTAATAAGTAGGAAGTCCAACTGTTTAATAACGGAAAGAGGATCAATTAGCGTGTAGCACTCATAATTTAATGGAAATTTTACCCCATGTTGCAAACTATTACACCCTATTTAGTATAAACTGAAACAATTTCAAAATACTATTACTTATAGCTACTTTTACTATTTTATAACAAAATAGGTATTTATTTTATACCCTACTATTGTGGTGTGGAATACGCCAGTTATATTCTTTCTCTCTCTTCCTTCTCTCTCTATCAACAAGATTCTCAATCATCTCTCTTCTCCCTCAAATCTCTCTCCCTTTTCCATTAAGGTAGCCGTCGTAGCCGCCATTTTTGGTGGCGATGGTGGACTTTCTGAAATGAAGAGAATAGATCTGAAGCGAAGAGGGAGTAGGCTAACAGATCTGGCCATGGCTACAGATTGAGCTTTTGAAAATCTGAAGCAGAGTCGCCGGAGAAGATTTAAGAGTCGGGTTTTATTGTTAAATTAAATTATGAGTGCTACACGCTAATTGATTTTGTTGAATTAAATTAGAGGAATTTTCAGAAATCACTATAGTTTAGTGGCTATTAACTTCCTATAGCTACCATATACATATTTACTTTCTATAGCTAATATTTTATTGCTAGCGCACTGTATTCGCGCTACTTTATTCATGAATACAGTCGCGTAATTCGCCTAATAAGTAGGGAGTCCAACTGTTTAATAACGGAAAGAGGGTCGATTAGCGTGTAGAACTCATAACTTAACTCAACAAAATCAATTCTACAAAATTTCGTTGCTACTGTGATGTATTTCATGTATTCGCACGACTATATTTATAAAATACCTAAAAAATAGGGATTACAGCTGTTTAATTCTGTATTCCATGTATTCACGCTATTGTATTTATAAATACAGTGAGGTAATCCGCCTAAGAACAGGGATTAAAGCTGTTTAATTTTGTATTCCATGTATTCGCGCAAATATATTTATAAACAAAGTGAGGTAATCCGCCTAAAAAAATAATGATTACGGGTGTTTAATAACGGAAAGCGCAATATTGAATTGTATTCAATTTCACTATATTGAATTCAGTTGTATTCAAACAACAAAAAATCAAGAAATAGGGTGTATATCGTTCTATTCAATTCGACTGTATACATTGTATTCAATTCACAAATATTCATTATTCACTATCATACATTGTATTCAATTCACCGTATTCAATTTGACTGTATTCAAACAATAAAAAATCAAAAGAACAGTGATATTCGGTGGTATTAAAAATAAAAAAAGACATTCGGAATACATAAACACAGGCAAAAAATAATATATTTATACAAAAATAAAATGTATTTGAGTGTATTTGTGCATAAAATAATGTATTTGTATCATTGTATGTGACTCAGTAGCAAAGAAGAGAAGAAAGTTCGTTGAAAATGGCATTTTCCGGCCAAGCAAAATACTGTATATGTTGTATTAAAACAAAAAATGGAGACGAACAAAAAACCCGAACTTAAATCTTCTCCGGCGACTCTGCTTCAGATTTTCAAAAGCTCAATCTGTAGCCATGGCCAGATCTGTTCGCCTACTCCCTCTTCGCTTCAGATCTCTTCTCTTCATTTCAGAAAGTCCACCATCGCCACCAAAAATGGCTGCTACGACAGCTACCTTGATGGAAAAGGGAGAGAGACTTGAGGGAGAAGAGATAGGATTGAGAATCTTGTTGATAGAGAGAGAAGGAAGAGAGAGAAAGAACATAACTGGTGTATTCCACACCACAATAGTAGAGTATAAAATAAATACCTATTTTGTTATAAAATAGTAAAAGTAGCTATAAGTAATAGTATTTTAAAATTATTTTGATTTATAATAAATAGAGTGTAATAGTTTGCTATAGGAGGTAAAATTTCCCAAATGAAACCGAAACCAATTTACAAACTCATATTCTTACTTGAAAGAGAAAAGCTTTATCCCTAGACTATAAAAAAGGAAAAAATAATTAATGAGCAAAATGTTTTATAGTTTAAAGCTGCAAACGAACACTCAAAGGTTAGGCAGATACAAAATAAATTTCACTGTAAATTTGTCACCGGCAGCACAAAAGCAAATTGACAGAAGATAAGCATAAATTTTTTTCTAGTTAAAGACTGAAGAATACCGAGCCACGTTTTGGTTGGCAAAGAAGCTAAATAAGATGGAAAAATAAAACTGTCTTGCGCCTAACACATTGCACTATGTCTACTGTTAAGAGTAAAATACAACAGGAAGAACACACAAGCCCAAATGAATGAAGCTAGATTTCTGTCTCTCAGAGTGAAAGATGTAGATTTGCCTTTAACACCAAGTCAAAGTTCATCCTGCAACAAAAAAGAGTATCAACATCATCTATGATACAAGAAACCATCCTAACTTGTTTTGTGTTTTTTGGGCCAAGCCAAACTAAATTTCATTGCAACAATTTTTAAAGCAACTCCATAAATGTTTTTGACTCATAGTATCTCAAGTAGATTTTTTTATAAGCCAGTAAACAAGTAAAAGGGCAACCCAGTGCACTAAGCTCCCGCTATGCGCGGGGTCCGGGGAAGGGCTGGACCATAAGGGTCTGTTGTACGCAGCCTTACCTTGCATTTCTACAAAGAAGTTGTTTCCAGTAAACAAGTAGGAGAGCTTTTTATACTCAGCTTATTATCCAAGAAGAGCGACAAGAAAGCAAAGATTTAGAGGATAAGTGAGGTTATTTGAAGACTCTTAAGAAATCCGGGGGAGCGAGAGAGTTGGGAGAGAAGAACAGTTCATTCTGAACTTACATGATAGTCATCCTCGTAATCACGGCGATAGCGCTGCAAAACAAAAATTTGTCAGCAAAGTTAGACACTATTTAACCAACAGAATTACTGGGGAAAGAGAGAGAGAAATTGACATAGAATACCAGAGTGGCATAACGAATAACTACAAAGTTTATCGTTGTAATTGATTATTATTGCTTTACTGAATTTGTTTAACATGAAGAATAAATCACTGGCCAGAAGGTCTTATTAGGTCTGATTGAACGCTTATTGAGCAACCAAAGCCATAAGCTGAGGGTTCCCAACTTATGGCTTTTTAGATTAAAAGCTACTTGAGCTTGAAATAACAAAGTTGTCGAAGATAAAGTGTATAACCAAAGTCATGATCAGCTAAATCTGAACCATTCAAGGAAGTTAAACAAGCAGAAACGATAGTAATAGAAATTGAAAAGGGAGTAGCTACAATCCCCAAAGAGGAAGGAACTACGAACAAAATAAGGAAGAAATTGGGCAAGGAAAAAAGAGAGTAAATGATTTCAGAAAACTAAAGGAAAAAACACATAGCATGTTGAGTTCAGAGAGATATGAAACACCGACCCTCTTGTATCTATCTCTATGCCTGTCCCTATCCCTATCCCGACCCCTTTCTCTTCTCCTCCTTTCACCTTCCTCTCTTGCTCTTCGGGCTTCCTGAAAATTCCCACTATTTTAGCATTTGCGCCCAGAAAAGACATGATATATTAAATAAATGAAAACAGGGTATCAACCTCTTCCTCTTTTGCTTTTCTCACTTTCTCTGCTTCCTCAAAAGCCTCCTTTTCAGCCTGCAGATACTCGTTTCAAGAAAGATATCTAAGTTTTGAAGAAGCAATGAATCTAGCACCAGTCAATATAGGACAAGGGATCAAGAACAGACCTCCCTATTAGCAAAGACTTCCTCAATCACTTTCTTTGCATAATCTGGCTCATCGCATATCAGTATATTGTCAAATATAGAACCTGCCTTCACCTGCAGCCCATGACAAAACACATCAGTACATCACCCGTTCTAACTTCATAGAGAAAAAACTACATGTGAAAAGACAACATTATCCTAGTTCAGACTACTCAACTTACCTGCCAAACTTCGATCCCAACATATTTGATAGGCTTCAGCACATAGAGGTCAGGATCATCTTCAAATTCTGGAGAGAGAGAGAGAGAGAGAGATCAGAATGGATTTTCAATACAATGACAAAAATTCAGAACACTGGCAAGTGTATTAAATTGCATCTCGATACAAATGCATACATCCATTACCTGGATTATCAATCCAAGGAGTCCTCCATTTACCTTTATAATTAGGGTTCTTTATTTTCTGGGACATAAGATGCACTCGCTAAGTAGATATTCCAGTTACAACTCGAAGATTTCAAGCTTCATAATTAGCAGTCAGAAAGATTCTCATATACCTTTCGTTTCCATGGACCCTTATACGCTGGATTAGGTATTTTTGGTGGTCTCCAGATACCGTCCTCTTCATCATCCCAGTGATCAGGCTAAAATAGAATAGCAACTTTGGAAGTTTAGCTTGCTAAGTTACAAGATGTAAGTTCATTGGTGTAAACAGGCCTCTAACGTGTCTCAACTATGATATATGGAAGGACAATGAAGTATTTGTACACATTCCCCATCTGTTACTACTGAAAAAGGACTAACATTTTCTATAAGTGCGGATGGGGAAGTAAAGAAACCCGCTAAGACAGTGATGAAAAGCGAGTACATCACTTGTGGAATAAAGTTAGTTTTACAAAGAATAAGAATGTTTGTAGTGATATAACAGACAAATTGGTTAGAACGAAAAAAAATCACTACAGAGGACAAGAATAAAAAAGTTCACTGCCAAGGAGTAAAAAACTGATTTATAAAACTAAAGAAAAGAGCCTTTTCAGAATAACCACACCTCAGAAAAAGTAACTTCAGAGCATCATCCATAACATGGGTTACATTAAGACAGTGTACATTAAAGCCTGCTGAACTAACCTTTTTAGCTTTGGGGTCAGGAATCTCTCTTGGAATAGAGTCATATCCCTGGAGTAAAAGTAGTGCAATAAGTAAAAACTCAAAAACCAACTCAAAGCATAAGAAACCAAAGAAAACTGACGAAATGTGCAGTATGAACTACCTCTGGTTTGACCTCGTTTGGGTCCTCTATATATTCTCTATCATCCCAATCTGCAGGCTATAAGCAATGGAAATCACATAAGCCATTTGAAAATGAGCAGATGAGAATCAGAAATTTTTACAGAATAAGTAAAGGAAAGGAATGCAAAGAAGACCTAAAATTGTCAAAATATCAATAGAAGAAATTGGGGGGAAATAACTGATAAACAGGATTTCTGTGCCAAACTGTTGAAGGTGCCAATGTAACAATACACATGAATTGCGTTTAGGGGCATAAACAAGTCCAGCCTAAAGCACCTAAATTTTTTCTAAAATACCTTTTTTGCATTTACATCTTTAATTTTCCGAGGAGGAAGGATATCCCAGTCCGTATACATGCTTCCAGAATCCCTTTCTCGACCATCAATCCAGATGCTGTATGATGCATCAGGTCTAAGAATGAATGTGTAGAAATGGGTTAATTTGTCTGTTTCACATTGTAGATCCTTTTTGATGGGATAATTCTGGCCTTGGTAGGAAAGTATAACATGAAGTTTCTTCGTCTGTGTACCACAGATATCCGGTCCGAACATCATACTGCAGAAACAAAGACATTTTGTAAATTAAAGGGGGAAAAATACGTACCATGCAAACAAACTACTATGAAAAATATATAACCTAGAGCTTATACATAAAAGGAACATCTGGTCCTTTTCGGCTTGTTTAGATAAAGGAGCTTTATTCTTCACCTCTTGGTGCTTCCTTCAATTTTGATCCTTGAACCTATTTACAGTAACTACACTCAGTTTTCAGATACCAGTCATTGAAATTTGACCAAGATTAGATGTGTATCCAAACTCACAACTGCTTCCTAATCAAGGAAATATTAGAGCTGAAATTTGACCAATGTTAAATGTGTATCTGAACTCACAACCACTGTTACTAATTAAGGCCATCGAGAAGCAGGCTTGCTTACTTTCAGCTAAAAGTGAAAGGTGGGGCTAAGAAGTGACAATTTACAAAATTTAGTTCAGGCATATGATTAGTCTGTCTCTTAAAAGAAACACATTTCACATCAAAAACTAAGTTTATACTCCCCAATTTTCAGAAATCAAAAGCTGGGACTGCAAGCCAAAATATCACAGAAGACAAACAGATCTAATGAAATTCATGCCTACGCAACTTAAAATTTCTTCTCCAGCTATGTTGCGTGGACTCTCCAAAATGCTGCCGCACCGTGGCAGATCCTCCAAAAATACACATACACTACTTTTGGAGGATCTGACACACACCCGGCTTTATTTTCGAAGAGTCCGAGCACCATAGTTCTCCAGTATGGGGTATCATAAAAACATAGTAAGAAACAAACCTGTAAGGGGTGTCTCCCCCAAATTTCTTCTGGTTGACATATCCAGAGAGAAGCTTTATATAACCTCCACCACACTCAATGTCCTGCTCAAACTTTATAGAGTACTGTACAACCAACGTTCTGTTCTTGTTGCTAAATTCTGGTATCTTAGCAGAGATGGCGAAATGTTTGGCATCGCTTGACGTCTGAATACCTGCAAAATCACAATCATCCTGAAATCTGCCACTGAGCTCTTTAAACAAATGGCAAACGGCGTGTCAGCTTCATGGGGTCTTTAGTTAAATGAATTATACCCTTCCCAAAATTGCAAAATGTTAAATGTCTACTAAAGAATCCTAATACTTTTTGGTTTGTCTCAAAGCATGTCTTAACATAAAAACTATACAGGTCATTATAAGCAAAATAAGTGATGAAGTGTGTGATCTGACTAACTAGGCAATGTCCCTTGTTAGGTTTCTTCCCACACCCACTCTGCTGGGTTAGGGAGGATTTAGACAGTGGATTTCTACTTTCTAGCACTTTATTTTCTCCTTTCCTTTTTTGTGATTAGTAGTGGACAGTTTAACATATAAGAATAGCTGAAGAGTCCATCTGAAAGCTTTTTTACACACATGAAGACTTCCAAAGAACTGATAAGAGTCAAAGTACCTTTATCATCAGGATCACCAGCCCATTTCCCAGCTGTATGCTTAAATGAACCTGCTTTCCCTTCACTCCTTTTCCAGTCAGACTTCACCCATCTGCTCTTCCAATCAACTTTTTCATTAAAAAAAAAAAAAAAAATAGGAAAAAGAAACAAGAAAAAAAAAATTAATCAGTGTATAATCACAGCAAAAAGGATCAACAATCCCACAGTAATCCTCTAACTATAAAGAGAAAATTTAATCTTGTAACATTGTGAAGCAAGAGCTTATACAGAAGTGGACTGATCTAACTCTTCTGCTCATAAAGTCACTAACAAAAAAATCAATAATTCGAGCTTATTATACAAAAATAAGTCCCCCCCCCCCCCCAAGGTATCAATATTTCATTCAAACTCACGCATAACTTCTGCAGCCCAAAGAAATCTTTTTTGTTGTTCAAGCAACTTCTGAATCAACTATAAAATACAATGGAACTAGTGAAAAGACACAAAAAAGAAGTTCACCAATTGATTTCATGCTTCATTTGAATTAACCATAAGCTCATCCAATCCAAAAATCTCCCATTTCTTTTAAAGAAAGAAAAAAAATCTAAGTGGATAGTAATAAAAAAATATAGACAATCCTTAAACATGGACATGCTAATCTTCTCTATAATCATTCCAGTTTTATTCTCTGTCACAAAGGGGGCAATATTTTCATTGAAAATTTATTGGGTGTAACCAGAAGTATCTAAAAATCAATTATTTTCATACCATTTACAGCCCAAAAAAAAAAAAAAAGATGGAACAGCGCCCAAAAATGAAACTATGAAATAGCATTAAAAGAATAAAGAAAAGAAAAATAATGAGCACCATCAAACTGTTCTTCGAAAAAGATCTCAGAGAATGAAGAGGTGACAAGTGAGAAGAGTAACAAAACTAGTAGAAATGATTCAAGTGAGAAGACTAGCTTTAGACTTGTTCTTTGTTCATGCTTGGACAGAGCCATTTGCCCCATTGTGGAAATTTGAGGGTCGTTAGAGTAATTATAGAAAGTTCCTTTTTGGTTTAAACCTTGATTTTCCTTTATTTACGAAATTACCCTATTAGTCTTTTTGTTTTTCTATTCACTTTTTTTTTTAAAGATGTTGTCCAATTAGGTTTTGCTTCTAGTACATTCCTTTTTGTCCTCAGTCCACTTATTAGTGGGAATTTCAGACTTTTAAAATGGCATCCCTACTTTAAAAAACAAGAATAATTAGTCATACTTTCACGGGTAGTTTAGTTGGAAAATAAGTTATTCCACGATTAAATATTTTGGTATTAGTTAGTCCGAGATTGTTATCCCACCTTCCTATTAGGGTAAAAATAACACTACAATTCTGAGATGGAATTAGATATACCATAATTTTATCACAATCAGACGTGGGATCTCATTTTAAATTTAATTACGGGATTAATTATACCTTATCCCGTAAAAATAAAAACGGTCTAGCCAGTTTTCGGACTTTTCATTCAAAAATAGCTAGCGTTTACCAAGTCAATGAAAAATAGCCACTATTTTGCTGCAACAGAGACCGGTCCAGCATAATATACTGGAGTTCGGTGCACCTGTGTATGAACTTCCAGCATATTATGCTGGAACTCCAACACACGGAAAGTTCCAGCATAATATACTAGAGATTCGAGCACTTGTGTATGAACTTCCAGCATATTATACTGGACCGGTATACTTTGTGGAACTCCAGTATATTATGCTGGAACTCCAGTATATTATGCTGGAGTTCTAGTGTACTTATGCTGGAACTCCAGCATAATATGCTGGAGTTCCAGCATACTTATCCTGGAACTCCAGTATAATATGCTGGAGTTCAAGTATACTTATGCTGGAACTCCAGCATAATATACTGACATATTTTCCGGGTTTTGAACAGTATTTTCCTCAGATTTATCTTTACATGAAAAGTGGCTAGATTTCGATTACTTTTGAAACTGGGCTATTTTTGAACGACCACTTGTAAATCTGGCTATTTTTAAATTTCTCCCCCTTATCTTTCGTACAAAACGAGCCCGTAATGTATGGTTCAAAGTTTCAACTTTGCTGGTGTTGATTTAGCAAAAGAAATTACGGAAGCATGATCGACTGGGAATCTTAGGATTAATTGTGTAAATATTTTTCTTTCATTTGAGACTATTTTGTTTACTGCATTTATCTTCCTTTATTATACTACTTTGCACTCATTTGCAAAAAATATGGCTTGCTTACATCTTATTTTTAGAGAGAAAAAAAACATTGCGTACTCATCGAAACAAATGCGTGTAAAAAATAATCACACGATTTTTATTTTTCTTAAACTATGCTTTCAATAAATTTTTATTCCATCTTCATCGGCCGCTATATCACACAATTGAATGTTGTGTCAGCCTCCATCTCCAATCAATGATCATCATATCTAATTTAACCATTAGTAGTAATTGTTCTTTATATCTTGCTATTTAACCAATTAATATTTCGAATATAGGGTCAAGATAAATTATGAAGCTTTTTTGAATGAGTTTGTTATTCTTCACGTGCATGTAGAATTTTTAAGTTAGAAAAAAAGAGCTCAAATCACATGCAGGGCATGTGACCGTCCAAAAGAGATGAAAATTACGAAGATATATTATTCGGAAAAGGGTCAAATAGATCCATATATTATCTAAAATAGTTTAAATATATCCTCCGTTATACTATTCATTCAATCAACTCCATACTGTCATACTGTTGGCACTGATTTGCCCATAATTTAGATGGAGTGCCACGTGGCAGCTCAAGAACAAAAAGACTCACCCCAATTTTAAATACCCAACTATAATTAAAAACACGACCATTATCTTAAAAGACCCACTGATTTGCACGGTTGGCACTGATTTGCCACGTTATACTATTCGCTCAATTAACTCCCTACTGCTATATTGTTGGCAATGATTTGCCCCTAATTTAGACGGGGTGCCACATGACAGCTCAGGAACAAAAACACTCGCCCCCAATTTTAAATACCCGACTCTAATTAAAAACTCACCCGTTATCTTACCTATTATCCGACCCAAGAATTTGTACCACATCACTTACTGCCGCAGCTCCTTCTCCTTTTTCGCCACCACCACCGCTTGTTCTCCTTAAATATTGTCCAAGTTCTGGTCCATCTTCCTCATCTTTCAAAGTCCCTTTCCTAAAATGATAGGAAGCAAAAAACAAGAATGAAAAAGATGGCAATCAGCCGCCTGAAATCAAATGAAACCACAATTTGAGAATAATTGAAGGACAACAAATTTATGCACTTTTACAGTTGAGGATTTCATGGAACCATTCCAAAGTGAAGCAGTAAAGAACGAAAATGGGTGAGTTTTTAATTAGATTCGGGTATTTAAAATTGGGAGTAGGTCTTTTTGTTCTTGAGCTGTCATGCAGCACTCTATCTAAATTAGAGGCAAATCAGTGCAAATAGTATAACAGTATAGAGTTAATTGAATGGATAGTATAACGAATAATATATTTAAGTTATTTTAGATAGTACAGGATACATTTTGTCACGCCCCAAACTAGGGGAGGCATGACTGGCACTCGATACTGTATTTAATCGAGTTAGCCACCAAACAAACTAGCTAACTAAACTGGGGGCCCAACAGATCGGGCAGCACAACATCTGAAATACTAAACCTGGACCATTAAGGTCATGACCTGAATAATTATAAGCCATGTAAACAAAGGTAGACGAGCCAAAATAATAAAGTACTAGCTGGCCGACGAGGCCGCGATTGGAGACATACATGCCTACACACATATACATACATGCCAAGCCTATAGGCTAGAGACTGAAAGCTACAAAAAGAAACCCAGAATACCGTGTCCACAATAGCCTCTAAGAGTGTCATAAGCACTGTCGGGATAAGGCCCCGACTATACCCAAACTGTACAACAAAAGTAACCATCCTATGAAAGCTCCAGGAAGAGGTGGAGCGTACCAACTCACAGCTGAACCCCGAAATCCTAACGGAGGGGTTGATCAGAGTTGATCAGAGTCCCTACCTGAACCTGCACGCACGAAACAAAAATACAATGTCCCCAGGCAACGGGACATCAGTACGAATAAAAATATACTGGTATGTAAGGCAGAAAGTAGAATCATACTTAGCTGATGAAAAAAAAAGAAGTAATAGAGATACTACCTGACAATGAAACCCTGATAGCCTCCATGGCCGACATCCGACCTCATAGTAATCAAATACGCATGGTATGCTCGTGTAATTGTATGTCGTGAATACATATATTGATGCAAATGCATGACATACCCAACCAAATGCTAGCAATGACGGTCTCTCCCGGTAGCTAACTGGTATCATATTGTCAACTTGTGGCCATCTGTATAATATATATAGTCTTTCGGGCAAATAAGCCCCTTACCTCCGATTATAGCTCGAAGTCCATGCATAATATGCCATGTATGATATGAACTTTGAATGCACATAATAGGCCATAATAAGAACTTAGCCAATCTTGGCTCATTGGTACTCTTATTCTCATAATCTCATAATCACCTTCGTATCGCATACAATTGTCTTGTGGAACCTCATATTTTTTTTGAATAAGATTGAAAACTTAACTCGACTTTTAAAAAGATAACTTAACTCTGTAGATGTTCATAAAAAGCTTAAGGTGCTTCACTTAGTCCTTATACCTGATTTCTTGATAATTAGTAAAAGAAAGTATTTCAAAAATCAAGTGTATTAGTAGTCTAAACATAAAAATTATATTTGAGATTTTTTTGAAATCGACGTGTCACTTTAGAGATTTTAAAAATACACTTTAAGAAGGAAGAATGACTGATCGCAAATACTAAATGCCTTATTTTTTTTAATCACACAACCCAAAGACGAATAAGAATTCATATATAGATGTCGAATACCCTATTTAACCGAACGAGTGGAATATCAACCTAATAGCATCATGAAAATACTTCAGCTACGATCCCAATGCCTTTCACAGAAGGTCTTTCTAGCAATAGAATAGTAAAATATCACATTTGACGTCTTAGGAATTTTCCAGAATTCGTGCTAAAAGGAAGGACGGAGCTTAGTCTTAACATACCTGGAGTAGGAAAAAATCCGTATGATATTCTTGGAAAGGTTTGCACCGTACTTTCTTAAGACCGCAAAATTTGGACGGAATTAAGCTTCTGCTCGTTGAAGTGTTTGAACGAGTGAGCTTCTGTTCTTGGCGTTACAGTGTGAACAATTGCCTAGCTTCTGTTCTTGGCGTTACAGTGTGAACAATTGCCTATGTTCTGTCCAAAAATTATCAATCATGACTTCGCTTCTTTTCAAGCAAGCTCTGGTTGACAGGAATTCTCACCAATTTAAACATATAAACCATCTTACCCTTTGGCCCTTGTTCTGATTCTTTGTCCAAAATGGAATGACAAGGTTTTGTTTTAAACCAACCTTGATTCATTTAATTGCTCAAAGTAAGACACCCACACGTATTAATGAGTCATCTTAATTAGTGGCCTTGTGCCACGTGAAGAGTGGATGAAGATTAGAAATCTTTATCCACTTATTAGTTAACCGGGTAATGTCCTATTACCCGGTAATTAATTAATTACCCGCATAATTTAAAAATTACTACAAATTACTTAAAATTTTATTTATTTTTAAAATACTTCATATATACTTTATATATTATACTACCGTGGTCATATGGTACCTTGTATGGTACTAGTTCATAAATACCAGGTATTATCGCTCGACCTGTATTTTATTATAAATTGGCCATTTTCAACGAAACTCATTTTGTACCCCTTTATCCTTCATAACACTTATTTATCGCTTGTATAAATAGCGTAATCCTTATAATCTCTAAATAATCTTTTACTTGGACTCATGTCAATTACCTTACGACAAATCCAACATACAATACTACAGGGTGTAACATCGTCGTAACTTAATACTGCAAAGCATAAATCCACCGTAATGTAATACTGCTGGGTGCAACACTGTCGTAGCTTAATACTGCAAAGCGTAATATCGACGTAATATTGCGGGGCGTAACACATTTGACCCTTTTTCGTATATTATTTGATAAATCTTCTAAGAAAATTTGTAATGAGGCATACAATTATCAGACCAAAAATGTATTTTCTAAATGCAATAAATAAAGATGTTAATATAAAATATTAGGTCAAAACTTAAAAGCAAGTACTGTTATTATATTGAAAAGTTCATTATTATTAGATGACAGAATAGCCTAAATGGCACTTATACTTCAGCCACTTTGTCATGCCGATCCCCAAACTTAGATATTTGCCATTTGAACACTTATACTCATTCAAGACGTGAATAATAAACGCTTATCCAACGTGGTTGATCCTATGTGTCATATGTGGCTTCAGTGCATGATTCCCACGCCTGTAAGGGGCGTGAAGGCAGTTTAAAAAAGCCCTAACGGTAATAATGTGGCCTATTTAACAACCATCTTCTTCTTTCTACCTTATTCTCCATTGTTGAACATTATAGAAACTAATTTCTATCCAAATCTGATGCCTTCTTCTTTCTTTGTTATCTTCAACAGTGAAAAATAGAATTTTTTTTCTTGGGATTCTTCATTGCCCATCAATTTTTGCCATCTCCTTTTGTTTTGAAAGTCGATTTTTTTCTTCTTCTCCGGCAAGAAATAAGCTACTGCTGCCTCTTCTCATTCAGCAATGAAGAAGGAACCTTTGTGTTATTGTGGACTTGCTACAGATCTTAAAATATCACGAACACCCACCAATCCGGGAAGAAGGTTTCTAGGCCGCCGAAGATATGAGATTGGTGAAGGTTGTGGCTTTTTCAGATGGGTTGATCCTGCGATTGAGGAAGAACACTACAAGACTCTTCCTGTGGCTCTTATTAAGAAGAGTGATCGATGTTATTATCAAAGAAGACAAGGAAGGTCGAAGTTCAGAGTTACTACTATTATAATTGCAGTTGTAGTTGTTCTAATGTTAGCTCTTATGTTATGTGTTTAGGATTGATAGTGTACTTTCTTATTTCCTGGGTTTAGGCTACATGTTTTGTCTTGATGTAAAATTTTGTCCATGGAATATATTGACAAAGGCTCCATTACAGCAACAAGTACTAATATAATGGCATGTGTTATAGACAGTTAATAAAACATCCAAAATAAGAAAGTTGGTTTATAAAATATTGCCAACGATAGGCAGTCAACAAAAACATATATAATGAAGTAGCTTTACAAAATATTGTCTACCACAGGTAATCAACAAAAACATACATGATTAAGTCTTCAAAATATGTAAATATCAGCTGAGCACTTCAAATAATGTCTGTTGTGTCTGGTTGCTTGGTGTGGATTGTGTAACTGGTGTGGCTTGAGTAGTTGTAGCAGAGTTTGCCCTTCTGTAACTCTGTTCTTGCAGCTGCCTTTGTGTAACTGCAGATCGACCCTTCCACTTTAGTCCAGGTGGTTTGAACCTAAGTTCAATGTTGGTAGGGGCAGAACTTATGAGTGTAGAAGGATTGTGTGCCACTCTGATAGTAGTTCCAAACTGCACAAAGATAAAAGGTTGTGAGTGAGGGATTATCTAGTAAACCATATATGTTGATTGTGTAAATAAGTGGAAATATTTACCCTCTGTATCACAATGCCACTTGAATCAAATAGCACACCATATTCTGCTACCTTTGGTCTCTTAGACCCTGCATTTGCACCACCTTTTCTAGGCTCATTGGTCTTCCTTTTTGGACCTCTTGCAACATTAGTTGATTGTTGTGTGCTTGGATCAGTGATTGGTTGAGTGAAGGTGCCACTTTCCATAGTTAAAGGTGCTGTTGCTGATCCAGCTGTTGCTGCTGATCCAGCTGCTGCTTCTGATGCACTTCCAGCTGCTGCTGCTGATGCACTTCCACCTGCTGCTGTTGATGAAGCATTTTCCACAGTTTCACCTCCAACTGAACTAGTTCCAGCCTTACCCCTTGGTTTCTCTGCATACACATAACAAAACAAACACTAGTAATGGTATTCTTTCAACACTAGTAACAAAACAAACATTAATACTTACTGCTGATGGACATCCTTTCTTGTTATGTCCAAGAGTCTTGCACAAAGAACATCTCATTTGTCTCCCTATCCTTGTACCCTTCCCAAACTTCTTCTTTGGTTCATCAGCAGCTTTTCTCCTTTTTTTCTTTGGCCTTCCTGGCATTGCAGTAATAACAGGTGGCTCAATAGCTGGCAGTGTGCTTTTTGGGCCACAAATTCATACTAGTTAAAGGTTGAATGAATCTGCTATATGCCTTAAGGTAGGTGTCCTTTCTATACCAATGGTCAACATATGGCTCAACCTCATAGTTCTTATAATGCATTGATGTAATTGCATGTGCACATGGAATTCCTTTAAGTTGCCATGATCTACAAGTACATGAACACCTCCTAAAGTCAACAACATGTTTATATGGCCCATCCTGGATCTCGTACCCTGTTTCACCATTAAATTTGATTTCACATTTGGCTGCCCTTTGAGCATTCTCTCCAAGTATTTCCATAGCCATGAGTGATATATCACTTACCCATTTTCCAGAAAACTCTCTCATGCTATTCATTCTTCCCATACACTTGATTCTAATTTCCTCTAACATGGTAATGATAGATTTGTGCCTAGCTACCAATATCCAACTATTGAATGTCTCACACATGTTGTTCTCCACTACACCACACTTACTATGTTCTTTGAAGTATGCCTTACACTATGTCTCCGTGTTGTATTTCAGTAAGTCTTGAACAATATCTCCCCCCAGCTAGTCCATCATTTCATCCAACTTCTTGCTAAAGTAAACTTCAAATGTAGCTCTTGCACACTGCCAGAACTTTTTCCTTCTTTCCTCACCAGGTCAAGTTTGCTTCCAATTAGCCCAGATATGTCTAACACACCATCTCATCTCAGCATTTGGCAATAACTGAGTTATTGCTAGATGAAGACCCTACAATCAACAACATTATATTGTTATAACTTAAACATAAATAAAAACAATTACACTTTAAAGACAGAGTGTTAGAAACCATACCTTCTGCATATCAGACATGACTGTCAGCCTTTCTCCTTCCGTTTCTGTCAAGTTCATATCATGCTTGAGACATCTGATAAACCAAGACCATGTATCCTTTGATTCCTTTTCAAATACTACCCAAGCCACATGATACATTTGATTATTTCCATCCTTGGAAATGCAGGAAAGTAGTTCACCTTTACATGGTCCCTTTAGGAATGCACCATCAAAGCCAATTATGTTTCTGCACCCTTCTAACCATCCAGTTTTTAATGCTTCAAGACAAACATAAATGCCTATAAACACCTCCTTGCCAGGTATTGAATTCTTAGATGTCTTTATCACTACAGTAGTGCTAGGATTAGTAGACTTTAGCATTTTTGCATAATCATGAAGCCTAGCAAATTCTTTCTCGTAATCACCCATATTCTCCTTCATAACTGTTATTTTTACTCTTCTACAAGAAGTTTTACTCACATACAGACCATATGGTTTCCTAAGTAAGGCTTGAATCTGATGAAGCTTAATTTGAGGCTCACTAATTATTCTGTCTTTGAAGTTCTTTGCAATCCATGGTGGGTTACACATCTTGTTCCTTGTCTTCTTGTAGCATTTATGGACAGGGTAGTATGTAATCACCCTAAAATTACTGGTGCTACCTTCTATGCTACCAAGGATATGCCATGGACAACCTTTCTTTGTGCACTTTGACCTAACCCTTTCCCTCTCATTAGGTTTCAACTTAAGGTTCACACCTTTTTGAACAGAATAGGTCTGCAATGCCTCCCTAAACTGTACAACATTCTCAAATATCATATACAGTTCAAATAATATTTTTTTGCAACTTATGTCAAAGTAGACCTTCTTACTTGGATTCCTAGCTGGTGCATCCCTTACTTCATCAGGGCCAACAAGTTCTCTTTCATCATCACTACACTCGCTACCTGGATCTGAGCTATCAAAATACTGGTCATCCCCTCCTAGTTTCCCTTCATATTTTCCCCTTTTGTTCTTATGCATATCTTCAAAACCATAATCTATACCAACTGGACCAGATGGTATCTCATCTACATTTACTTGGGCATCCATCTTTTTGTTGATTTTAGACTGTCTAATTTCAGCTAAGTCATCTTCGAAATCACTACACTCTTCAATGTTCTCATCTATATCAAACAGTGAGTCAGACCCTTCAGAATCATCAAAGTCCTTATCAAAATCAGATTCTGATGTTTGAAGGTGATAGGATGAGAAGTTATTACTTTCACCTTCATATGATTCTTCTATCTCTTCATTTATATCTGCCCCCTTACCCTTATCTTTGTCATTTTTCAGTCCTATTTATATCATAGTTGGGAGGTGACACATCAGCCCTAGCATTTAACCCACTGTCATGCCCATGTATTTGTATAGTGGGGTCTAGTTCAGTTATGTCTACAACAAGAATAGGCTCACTAATTTTATGGGCAATACAAACATCAACAAAGTCACCACCTTTCAATGTATTAAGAAACTTTAACACATCAACATCTGTTTTTAAAATGTAATAGCCACCCTTTTTGTTAACTCTGCATCCAAACAAATCAACTTCTAAAAATCCTAAGTCCCTAGCAAACTTGTGAAACAACATAATATGCAGCTCATCAACATCAAATGTAGCTAATTGAGGACAAGTTAGTCCATTTGCATACCTTAGGTCAGGGTCCAGCACAAAATTACCATTGTGGTGGATTTGTAGGTTAACTGGGCTTGAAGCCATTTATTTTTATACCTGCAAAGTAACAAAAAAAAAAGTGTTATCAATGACTATTTGTTATCAAAAGTTGCACCTTTACACAACTCCATAAACAAACCAACAAAAAAGACAGATTTTTTAAGTAAAAAAGCTTTCAAGGTTCCTTTTTCGTCCCCACAATACCTTATAATATTCAGAAATACTCTGGTGGACCACTAACAAGAAGGAGACCCAACAAACTTCACAAAACAATGCATAAACCTAAGATGAAATTCTGCTTTGACAAAAAAAAACCCAAAAAACTAAACGGAATAACCAAATATGCCATTACATGCATGACACTACATTAAAAAGGGGTTTCACTCCAACATGTAACGAAACACAACAAAAGCCCCATATATTAAGGAAGATTAAACAACAATTACGACCTAACCCAACCTTCCTCTAAAAACCCTAAACAGAGCAAAATCCCTATATATTGAGGGAAATGAAGAACAATAAAGACAAAATATGAAGAACAGATGAAGAAACTTACCCCACAAACTTCGATAACAACTGTACAACTGAAAATCCCGGCAACGACGACGGAGAAGAGAGGAGAGACTCACTGTTGTTCGATACTTTCTAAGCCAAGTACGCGGATAATTGTAAAATGAGGGGAAAATGTGGGTTTGGGCGGGAGGGG